AGGGTTGAACACGAGGTAATGAGGGGGGCGTGGCACACATCGGGATCGTACGGAGCAGGGTGTGACAGCGAGTTGTTGCAAAGTATCTCTGGAACTGTTCAAGCAACAAAACATATCAGTGATGTTATTTACAGGTACAGGTCAAGCATCCAACACCATACGTACCATTTGCATTGTAGACCAAGAAACGGTGTCCTGCTGGTCCATCAAAAATTGATCTGTCTTTTAGGTGGTTCATTAGTAGAGTTAAAAACTCTCGTGTAGGACCACCTGTATCAATTCCTTCTTCAAAAACACCAGCATCGTCGGTAAATCGAACCAGCATGTCACAGGTTTCTGAATATGTTGCACGTCTGAATCCTCTGACTGCTCCATCCCAAATGTTTGACCTTGTAATGTTGAACCGGCTGACTCTTCCATGATCAATAGGACATGACAGGTTTGTGATGATATCGGTGAGTGTAATGTTTACCTCCTCCCTGTAATTAAACAAGTGACTTACATTTGTGCAAATGCCAGACGGTACACACTTTTCTATTTTTGAACAAAACTTAATGTGCAGTAAAAGGCTGCTTTCACACATCATCATTGAAGTAATTCAATCTTTAAATCAGTAGATGTACAGAGAAAAACTGCACCGCCAATGTCAATAACTGCCAGCTTATATCGTGGTGTCTGGTAAATTCTTCATATCTACAGGAACTGGCTCTTCATCCTCTTCCTCAACACATGGTGCATAAAGGTCTGTGTATGTACTGTAATTAAATTATTCTTATGTTAAAATGCTACTCCAACCATTTTTTATTAAAACATGGTTCACAACTTAAATAGATCCCTGTAGTGCATTTTTTGTAAGTTAACCTTCCTACAGATATTTTAGAAACAACTTACCAGTTTCTTTTCCATCTAATCTAAAAACTTCTACAAAGTTAGACAACATTTTTGTCAATATTTTGCTTACCTATAGCAAGTGGACATAGCTTGATTGTATGCAGGTGGATCCAGAGTATCCTCAGTGTCAGATATTACTATCTGAAAAATTAAATGACATAATAGAACCTAAATGTCCAACACAACAAATTTAAAGCAAAGAAAATGAGGCACCATTTACTGCAATACCTGTCCAGTCTGAATTGTAGATGAATGTCCCGTTGCATCTCTGAAACAAGTTAAAATTACTACTTTAGTGCAACAAAGATTTATGACGTTAGAAAGAATTTAAAGGTAATGTAAGCCATAATAACCTACATAATTTCATTATGTTTCTCAGTATTCTTATGCTATTTCCTGCTTCATGTTCACAGAGACAGAACTCTGGTGTCAACATAAATTCAAGGGTTCCAAATGTGACATAATCACATGACCAGTTTAACATTTTTGTAAATTAGTACTTACACGTCATCTTCCGTGTTTTGATTGGGTGTACTTTGGTTATGGGGTTCAAAAACCTGAGGGGAAAAGTATACAATTCTGAATTATTTATATAGTCTATATCAGGGGTGCCCACACTTTTCTGGCTTGCGAGCAACTGTTAAAATGATCTACCTACACTGAAAATGCTAAATGTTTTTTTTTTTTTTTACATATATACACTGAGTATACAGTATATGTTGGTGAGCCTTCCATCACTCCATGACCCCTTACAGCACAATACAATCCAGTACATTTATGGTTCCTTATTTGGTCCGGTTCCTCCAC